AGTGCTTAGAGCTGAGAAAACGAAGCAACTTGATTACTCTAAACAACAGTCAGTTTATGTACAAGCAATGCTCAGTGGAACAAAGCATGTTAGTGGCCTGAGGTAAATGGTTGATGCCAGTGGCTCACATCGGTGCTCTCCTTAGACCAGTGCGCCCATTAGACAAAGTATTGCGTCGGTGTCAGTGCACCAGTGCACAGTCACCTTTGGATACGTCCACACACCATGCCAAAACAAGTGTTACTACTAACCGAATGGTACACAAGCAGACCAAAGCTCAATCAGGAAGAGTCCAAAGGGTCATGGAACACTTCAACAGTGTGCAAAATACATCCACCTGAGTTGTGGTATCCAAATTAAGGGAGACAATTTTCTAATGTCAGCCGGTTCGGTTTTAATCAAAAGCAACTTGGCGTAGGTTGGTGTCTCAAGACAGCCGGACTGGGAGACGGAAGAACGATGAACACTTCCGGTTGGATATAGTAGTAGACATTTTAATGTCGTTTGTGTTGTGTGTTTGCTTGTTCCCCCCCCCCCCCCCATCCCCACGATCGCTCTCTTGAAGCAGTGTGTAACCTGTATTGGTATTCAATGGAGTTTAGAATCACGTTTTTCCGGATGCCATAATTTTTTGCATTGCGGCACAAGGGTCGAAGTGCATTTCGCACCTTCGGCTAAGGTGTAATTATAAGGAACATGAATACGAAACTGCTGTCGCAAACCGGAGATATCATGGACTTGCCTGACTTCGTTGATTAGACATTTTTAAAAAAGTACCGTTTGGCTGTGAACTTAGGCGCGCAGTAAGAAAGTTTGGATGTTTGCATAGTGTACGATTATATACAACCACGGAATGCAACTACTGGGAATAATGGTGGTTCGAAGTGTGGGTAGCGTAGACCCAATCATTTAGTCATAAAAGTGCTTTGTGCACTAAGGACGGGTGAATAATCAGCCGTATCAAACATGCTTTCAGTGAGGTACCATGACATAAATGCAACTCGATAAAAGTGGACCAATAAATTAGAAAGGAATGCAATACTATCATATCATAACCTGGTTGGTTAACTCAGTGACGACTGTTAGCGTCTAGAAAAAGTCGCGCTACATAAGGGACAACTGATTAAAGCTTAGCTCGAGTTCGGGCATACATGAATTTCTGCTACCCTCTGGTTGACGCCGCTGACCCGTAATCGGACAATACACTATGAAGGGGGTGACTTGAGTCGACAAGTACTGTGACGATAATCTCCTGCAAGAACCAGTATGTGTGGACGAAAGTACATACACAAAACACCGCTTTGATACGCCGTTTTGATACACCCCTAAATCGCAACAATTGTTTTAACGAACTAGAGATTAATTGGAAGTGCTTACATGGTTGACAAGGAAAATTACTTGAGAGGAGTACGTCTAGTGTGGAAAAGCACATTTAGTGGAAAAGCGAAATATTAAATCATGGGAGATAGAGGCGCGCAAACTTGAATTGAACGACTGATTCACATGATGTGACCAAGACAGCTCGTAGTTAAACATG